GAGGGGCGGGGAGAGCGCGGCCTGCTCGGGAGGGCGGCAGCTATCAGGCGATCGCAAACATGGACCAATCGGAGGTGGGTAGACCTCCTGCCCTGACACGTCGATTCAGGAATTGGCCGTTTTCGGTTCGCAAGAGGGCGTCGCGGCCGTCATTTTCGCGGGTCCAGGTCCGTCGGTTTCGGTCCCAGGCCGTTTTCACTAAGGGGAGGTTTATTAAAGGGAGGTTTGTCCACCGCCGAATCAAGGGGGCGTGGATTAGCGACGGGTCCCGCTTCCATGGGAAATCGCGGATTTCAGCCGCCGAACGAGGCGGCACCGACAGCATTTTGGTGAGGGCACCTCCTCCGATCCATGGATTTGGAGACCGCGCGCCAAAGCCGTGGATCGCTGATCCATGCTTGCGCGCCCCCGAAGTTTGGGGGGGAAGCTCTGTTCGTCGCGGACCTGGCGCTCGCGCCGGTCGGCGGGGCGGGCACAGGGCTGCTGTGCGGCAACCTGGTGCCCTGCAAGAGGAGCTGAGGAGTGCAGTCGGACCGAGGTGTGAGGTCGAGGTCTGTTCGGAGAAGGTATACCCTAGTGTTGTTCATGTTTGTTGGGTTTTCTTGTGCATCCTGGGGAGGGTGCCCTTGGATGCTCTGTGCGTTTTGGCCGACGGGCGCCTCATGTTCTCGAGGCATGTTCTTCTGGCCTGGGTCCGACTGCAGCGGCGGCGGCCGCGGAGGGGGGGAGAGGAGGGCGCCCCCCTCCCGCGGAGGTCAGCGGGGGGGAGACAGGCGGGGGGCGAAGACGCGCACGCCTTTCCAACGCCTCCTGAGCGCGGGGTAGAGGCCGTTGAGAGCCACGCTCCTGCAACCCTCGATCGCCCCCCCCCCCCCCGCTTCGTTCATGGCCCCCCTCTCCGTTGACATCTGCCCGATCTGTCTGCCCGAGGATCGGCGCACAGTCAACCCGCATAGTAAAGGTGAACGACGTTCCAAAGCTACCCTTGCTTCCTTGCCCCCTCGGCCCACCCTCAGCGACGTTCGGCGGCCAACCTCGTTCGAACACCGTTAACATGGCCCTCCAAGGCCCTTTTCATCCTCACCGCGCATCCTTATTATACGGGCTGACCGTAAACGTAAACGGTTGGCGACCCCCCCCCCCCCGCGCCGCCCCTGGCGCGCTCCGCGCGCTGTGGGAGGGGGGCCTCCTGCGCCGACCCGGGAAGTCCGCGCGGACCTCCGGAAGTGTGCTTTATGCCAGTGTGTTGTCTCTTCTCCTGTCTGTGCAGTGCTTTCTCGTTCGGGCTGCCGCGGGACCCCGATCTCACAAACAAGTCATGCGTAGGGACACGCCTCGTACCTCTAATGAGCATATCTCGCCCGAGACTTCCTCGCCGCAAGATCACGCTCAAGCATGAAGTGTTCCAAGTGGAAGTCGAATGGTGTTCAGCATGTGGTGGTCGCATTTGCGCCGCGCGCATAACTTCGACGTGTTGGCAGTTTCCAACAGCTGCACGGATGCAGAATTGCTTCTCACCAGACTGGGATTATCACTAGAATGGTGCTCTCACTAGAGATTGGCTTCAAATTTGTTGGCCCAGAGCATACATTAGCTACTCCGATGGAGGATACGTAGGTCTCTTGCTTGAGATTCCCACGAATTGAATGTTGCCAGACATTGAAACATGTAGTTCCACGGACGGAAGACGGCTTCTTTTTCAAAATGGGTAAATCGTTGAACATGCCTGCGTATTGTTTGATCGTTGCCCTTCGCTCTTCTTCTTTTCAGAAGGATGCAGGACAGTTCCTCTTGGAAGCGAGGCTCTCGGCTGAATGTCAGGCCCATGGGGCGTCCTTCTTTCAAGGGAGCGGTTCCTGCAGATCGAAAAATGCAACACAAGGATGTGTGATGAGTGGGTTTGGGGTGAAGGGTGTATTGCAGCACGTGTGATACATCGTGGGTCTACTCTGGTCCGGCTCCTTGTGTTATTCCTCTGATGTATCTTCCTCCTTCTTCCCTCCTCTTCATCCTCTCTTCGTCTCCTCCTCCTCCTCCTCCTCCTCCTCCTCCTCCTCCTCCTCCTCCTCCTCCTCCTCCTCCTCCTCCTCCTCCTCCTCCCTTCGAGAAGCTCGAGAGGAAGGAGGTCGAGGAGCTCAGGCGTCGTCGGGAACTGCGCGATAGCACGGGCACCCTGCTCGACGGCACCGAGAAGTACGCCGCTTCAGGAGGAGCGGCTCAGCGGACGCGCGTGAGGACGCGCGTGAGCGCGCCCGCTCGCACCTGCGGCCGCACTAGCGGGGGCATCTCGGAGTGCAGGCCAGCGGAGCCTGCACCGACAGCAGCGTCTGTTTTGAGCACCGAAAGGCGGAGCAAGAAGACAGGATACCGTACAAATTCAGACAGACAGAGCACCACTGGGACGACGAGTTGAAAACGAGGGCCCGGCAGAGTTCACTCTAGCGCTCCCCAAGGGCCCCTCCTCCAAGGCCTTCTGAAACAAATCCGTAACATCTAGCCCTTCCGGCGTCCATCCCACGCAAGGTTGGCAAAGCAGGTGTTGACACGCCGTGGAACGACAGTGGGGCATGACCAGCACCACAGATATGGAGGCCTCTCACACGCCGTGGCCATGGTGGTATTGCTCGCCCCTACCTACACGCCGACAGGAAGTGGTACTCCAGAGGTGTACTTTGACTACTACAGAGAATGTGGATGCAGCGTGTCGCAGTACAGGGAATTTGTCGAACACGACATCGCACGGTTTGGCCATCGACCAGTGCGTCCAGGAAGCGAAGTGAGTTTAGAGAGGGAGGGACTCTGTTCGAAGCGTGGGCTCTTCAGGACCTTGGTAGAACATCGATTAGGCCCCCCAGAATAAGTTTGGCACGAAAGGGGGCCTCCTGTATTCCCTCCCTCCTCCTCTCCCCCGGTACCTTTGTGGAGTGGTCGCGTCGTCTTCTTCCCCCTGCTTGGGGGCTTTGCTCGCCCAGCGCGTTCCCCAAGGAGTGGGCGCGTGAGAAGGCCAGCAGCTGCTCCCCCCGCACTGACCCGTAGGGACTCGCACTCGCAAGGTAGCGAGCCTCTCTGACGGGGCCTCCTCGGAACTTGCTCCTCAGAGCATCGGGGCACGCCCCCTGCCGGCCCCGTGAGAAGTCGGGGCCTGCGGCAATTTAAATCCGCCGGGTATTTTGCAAGTCGTGCCCCACGGCTCCTTAGCGGGCGTTTCGGCGTTGACCCTTTCATGCGGATGTCCTGTCCTGTCATGTCCTCGTCCCTCCGCAACAATTTTGGTTTAAGCTTCCGTGGCGCCCGACCGCACCTCCCAGGAACGCCACTTCGCATCCTGCCTTCAACGGCCCCCATGCCCCACCGTTGGGGGGATGAGATTCCCAGGAAGCTTCTCGCTGCAGTCGCTCCGCACGCGCTGCGCCAGATAGATGGAAGAAAGAGCTCAAGGTTGATCACCCTCGTGTTCCTGCTCGCCGCTGCCCCGCGTCGCCTGCCCATGCGCGGCGATCGTGCTCGGCCGCTCGCCGCCGTTGCAGCAAGATCCGGCTGGCAGCTGCAGGGCCCCATCAAGCAAGGGGGCGCCTTCTCTTCCTCCTATCCACTTTGTTCCGCCTCTCCTCTCCTCTCCGCCTCCTCACTCACACCTCCTTGTTCTCCTGCTCATCCTTCTCCTCCTCCTCCTCCTCCATCCCGCTTCCTTGTGAACAACTCCTTTTCGCGCCCCCAGGCGTGCCCGTAGGGCGGGCTGGACGTTTCGCGTGAGACCCCTTCGCCGGCTCTGATCCCGAAGCTTCAAATGTGCAACAGTTTCACGGATGGCGGGTGGGTGGTTTTCAAAATGCACATTCGTGTTACAAGCTCGCAAAAGCTTCACGACTGGAGGGCGGCTGTTTCCCACGCTGTGGCTTTCGCTTCAGCGCCGCGAGCATTAGTCCTTCAAGTCTGCAACAGCTCCACGGATGGAGGGCGGGCCTTTTCCAAAATGGTGCTCTCGGCTGGCGCCGCGCACACTCGCAGCATGCGTTCATGGCCGATTCACGCATGGAGGGCGGGTCGTTTCAAAATGCGGCTCTCCCTTTAGTAAGACGCGCATTCGTCTTCAATCTTGCAACAGCTTCACGGATGAAGGGCTGTTTTCTATTCCCAACCATCCTGTGGTGCTGGGTCCTCGTTTTGAAGAGACGTCGCCCCGCGTTCCTTCCTTCCTTCCCGCTGCCCTTCCTTCCTCCCTCCTCCATTTCGGCACACCACTTACACGTTTCGTGGCCCCACAGGGAGCTCCGCCGAAGGCCCCAGTGCTGCCGCCCGCATGCGTCCCGCACGCCCAATTCGGCAATCCCCTCACACGCTTCGTGGCCCCATAGGGAGCTCTACCGAATGTCCCAGTGCTGCCGCCCGCATGCGTCCCGCACACCCACTTCGGCACACCCCTCACACGTTTCGTGGCCCCATGGGGGGCTCCACCGAAGGCCCCAGCGCTGCCGCCCGCATGCGTCCCGCACACCCATTTTGGCACACCCCTCACACGCTTCGTGGCCCCATCGGGAGCTCCACCGAAGGCTTCAATGCGGCCGCTCGCATGCGCCCTGCACACATATTTCGGCACACCCCTCACACGTTTCGTGGCCCCATAGGGAGCTCCACCGAAGGCCCCACTGCTGCCGCCCGCATGCGTCCCGCACACCCAATTCGGCACACCCCTCACACGTTTCGTGGCCCCATAGGGAACCCCGCCGAAGGCCCCAGTGCTGCCGCCCGCATGCGTCCCGCACACCCACTTCGGCACACCCCTCACACGTTTCGTGGCCCCATAGGGAGCTCCACCGAAGGCCCCAGTGCTGCCGCCCGCATGCGTCCCGCACACCCACTTCGGCACACCCCTCACACGTTTCGTGGCCCCATAGGGAGCTCCACCGAAGGCCCCAGTGCTGCCGCCCGCATGCGTCCCGCACGCCCATTTCGGCACACCCCTCACACGTTTCGTGGCCCCATAGGGAGCTCCACCGAAG